TCGATCAACAGAAGAATATGTAGAGTTTGTTGAATTAGCAAAAAACGATGGAAAACGAGTGGGCAACGGAAGAAAGACACAAAGATTTAATAATGTTTCTGTTAAACGTGTAAAAGCAGTTGAAGAACCAGATACTGTTCAAGATGATTTGAATACTGATCATTTTTATCAATAAAATATTTCTTCTTATTTTATTTAGAACCAATAACAAGAAAAACAATAGTCAAAAAAAAAAAAAACTTGTGCGCTGGAGGAGATTTTTTTAATGAGATCTTGACTTCGTTCATCAAAAGAAAGATGAACAAAAAGACTCTATCTATTGTGATTGTTATTCTAAATTGATGATGTACTTAGTGTTAGCTGTCAAATAAATCTATGGACCTAAATTCAGTATTTGGTGATTTAATAATGATAAAATTGGTCAAACGGTTGTGACTACCGATCTAACAATGTTCATGAATCTAATTAAAACCTAATACAAATATACCCGACTGATTATAAGTGACCAGGCGGATTTATAAAAAAAGTCTGGATATTAGAGAAAAATCAAAATATAAAGTTAAAAATAAGTTTTAATCGAATTTATTAGCGTTTTTGTTTTTTCATAGCTGTTCATATTGACTTTCCTTCTTGGCTAATCCGTGTATTTATTTCATTGATAATACAATCATCAATGGGTTTGTCTATGTTACAGTAAATATCAGAGGTTCAATCAGGCTTGCCCATGACAAACTATGAGCATCCTAAGTCTATCTCTGTCTATTATCTGTTTTCGTTGGCTTGATTTGCACGACGTGACTTGTGTATTTTTTTTTCATACTCATCTTGTGACAATGATTGAATGGACGCAGAGAAGTATCTCTATATCCAGACAAGAAAGTCATGGATACAGATATGACAATCAGTGTGGAAGTTACCACCATGGATTCAAATGAGTTCGAAATCCTCAGCGTTAAAATTTGTGGGAATGGGATTTAAGTGGCGATTTTCGACGATATGTGTTGAGCCATCTTCAACTTTAACTGACTCCGAAAATTCAGATGTAAAGGGTTTACCATCGACCAAAATCCGCTGTGGTAGCTTCACATCAATGAAATGGCATGAGCCCATGAAATATTTGACTGATTTAATAAAATATGTATCTGCTGACAATCGATAACAGAAATAACATTAACATTTATAAAAATGACTTTAATAAATTACTTGAAGAAGACATAACAAACTCGGTAATATTAAGAGAATAGAGATATAAATCAGAGAATAACAAGACTTAAGTAACGATTTATATCAGATATAGATAATTATAACTTGGTGAAACAGATAAATAGATGAATAAACAATGCATTCACCATATATTATTAGTTAGAATTATGTTTAGCCACAATGATACAAAAAAAAAATAATTTCCCATCTTTCAGTGGTAAAAATATTCTCCTGTATATTTTAGTGAATACATTTCCTGCTCAAAACGTGAACTTTCTTCTATTGACAATTTAGGTAAAAACAGGACAGGTAGGTGTTCTGTTTGACCGATGGGTGTGCCAGGCAGACTCGATGATCGGTATGAATTTCTAGTAACAATCTTGAAGAATATTTGAGAGTTTGCTTTTCAGAGATATTTTAACATAACTTAGTCGAGTGGATCTAGCCTGATTTGTATTCAACGTATTCAGAGCTTCTCTCCATTGCATCATTCCTAGCCTGATGCGATGGACATCCTCATATCCTATCTCAAGTCTTTTTGCACCAATTACTCTAAATCGTCTATCGATAATAGGCAATAGGAGTGTTTCAATGCATAATTCTTTTCATTATCATCGTAAAAATTTACCAGAAGTACGTTTTGATTCAGCATCAACTGTGTTTCAATGTTAAGGAAAAGAATTCGATCGAATGCAAAAGCAATTTAATAATTATTTTCGAGATTTAAAAACAAATCGTTCATTAAATAATCATTCATTTGATGAACATGATAAATTGCATTCTATAAAAATTGATTATTTGTTTCTATTCCCTTCGTTTTATTTAGAAAATGGTTTGGTTATTACTGAACCAGAAGAAATTAAAATTAACGCACACAATGGTATTCTAACTCTTTCAACTAAAAAAGAAAAAAAGTAGGAATTATACTGTTTTAAATAATATTGTTTCTTAAATGTTTAATTAATTTTTTCTAGACAAATAATAGTTACTTTCTTCATGAATCTCCTCAAACATACATATCACCGAAAGAACTTAAAACTAATGATTTAAAGTCAACTTATACAGAAAATGGTATTCTTTCAATTGAAACACCATTACCAAAAGATGAACCAAAACATAGTCAAATTCGAATCGAACGTGTTAAATCAACTATTTTTTTGAATTTTAATCAAACATAAGGCTGTGAAATAAAAATTTATTTTTAGCATTTTGTGAATACTGACTTCTGACAGCAAATGTACAAGAAAAGAAAACAAAAACCCAAAAGATCAAGAAGAAAAATCGTGTCTGTCTATGCATCACAAATGATCCATTATTCTTTCCTTTGTTCTCATTCTTACGACGACATCTTGCAATCCTCTATTCAACTGGTTTGCTCTACATGTATAAAAATTTTAGTTGAATGACCGATGCACTAATGGAATAATCATAATTGCAAAATTTCTAACGTCATTGTAACTTTGATAGATATAAAAAATCGAATTTCTTCAGATTACTTTCAGACAGTATTGTGGCTAGCCAATGTATCTACAAAGTATTGTTTAATCAAAAGAATAACTTTCAATTCCTTTTCGCTTTAGATTTTTAAATAACGTCAAAAATTTTTACACCTACAAATCAAATTCGTCTAACACATAAAGCTACTGTACGATTGAAAAAAGGTGGTAAACGTTTGGAAACTACTTGTTAACGAAATAAAGTTGTTTCGTGGAGAAATAAAGAGTATGTCATTTTTTTTTCATTAATCTTCTAATATGAAAAGTTTTATTTCAGAGAAAAGATCTTGATGAAGTTCTTCAAACTCATACTGTTTTCTCTAATATATCTAAAGGTCAAGCAGCTAGAAAGAAGATTTAATCGGTGCATTCAATACTGAGGATCAAACAAAAATTTGTCTTGAAGTAAAATTTTATTTTCGATGAAAAAAAAATGCTTTTTTATACTTTAAATAGATTTTAGAAAAAAGTGAATTACAAGTATCGGATAAAGAACGTGCTCAACGTCTAGAAAATACTTATAAGGAAATTACATCACTTGTTAGTGGAAAATGTATTAATCTGGAGACAAAATGTCCTTATACTATATCGATGATTGGACAAGCCATGAGAGATATTCATTTTAGTTTTAATCGTAATCGAAATGCTAAACAACAAGTTGAAATTGTCCTTTGATTTCTTGTAAATCTATTAAAGAATTTAATTTAGGCATTTGATGTTATTCATCAATTGAAACAATCACAATATTCCAATTCAACAAGTACAAATGCGTGTACAAGTACCCATGTCACGAAAATCGTCGCGATTTTGCCGATTTTTTAGAAATCGGTGATAAATCGCGATTTTTTTGCTGTGTATCGATGGTAACAAGCCGAAAAAATCGCCGATTTAGCGTGAGATTAATCGCGATTTAGCGCACGCTAAATCGCCGATTTTTTCGGCTTGTTACCATCGATACACAGCAGAAAAATCGCGATTTATCACCGATTTCTAAAAAATCGGCAAAATCGCGGCGATTTTCATGACATGGGTAACAACACCAGGTATCAACCCATGTCATGAAAATCGCGACGATTTTCGTGACATGGGAAGAAAAAGACATGTATTTTTCTATTGTTTTACGATCATGATACTTGTTTTTCTAGCTAAAGATGTGAGAAAATTTAAAGAAGAAATGAATAAATTATCAATACCATTACATACTGATAATGAAGAATTTCTTAATTCATCAATGCAATTAATCTGTTCTATTGATTCAAGAGTATTTCAAGAATTAGACACTTTATTATGTAGTGAGACATGTGGACAAGGACAATTGGAATTATTAAGTTTAATGGATGTTGCCGAAGGAGATGAAACATTAAATGATTTACATGAGAAGAAAATAAACGATTAATGAAAATTTTAATTGTTATTGTAATTGAAAAATTATATCAAATAAAGATAGACAATGATATGTAGATTTTTTAAAATAACATGCATGGTATAAGTTTTTGAAAAAATGTCAATAACTATTAAACCATATTGTTAACCTCTAAACTAATGAATTTCCTTCAATTGAAAAGAGCAATGTTTGAACTAAAAATTTTATGCCACATATATTTTTCCGAATTCAATGTAGAAAGAAAAAAACTAACCATCTCTAAAAAGTTTCTTGAAATTTGTAAAGTCTGTATTACGCAATTATTTTGAAACAAATGGGTCAAGTGATCACAAAAGTAATACGCAAAAATGTAACACATCAAAAACTCCATTGATATCATATTTGATAAAATATTTTAAATCTATTATTGACTTTACTTCAAAATGTTCGGAAAATGAAATTTTTGTAGAACAGAGTTTTTATAATAATTAGAAATTTACAAGACAATCAGCCTCTGCTCCCAAAAACTAAGCATTAACTTAATTCTTGCTGTTCTCTTTATTCGAAATGTGCTAGATCATAGACGCTTGGTAAGAAACTGAAAAAAAAACATTTTTAATAGCTTCCAAAGCAATCCTGAAATAAGCGTTGCTAAATCCTTCAGTCTCTTTCAGGGTATGGGTCGGAATGCAGAAAGTGTGAGTGTGAGTATGTATGTATTCCTCACACCCCACGCACCCGGTCA